ATATATATATATATATATATATATATATATATATATATATATTAAGGGTGTCACAATCCTCCAAATCCTCGATTCGATTACATTTTCGATTCTAAAGGCACGATTCGATTTTCGATTATGAATAATTAATTGATTAATGACCAATTAATTATTTGTAGCCTACCGTTTAAACTACCTGACCTGCATGGTCTTTGTTTTACCCATAAATAAATCATACAGTAAATGAATAAAGGCAAGATACACACATAATTACCACCTGTCAATCACTTTTTCTGCGGGACTCGTGAATAGGCAGTGATCTGTGTTGTTATAATGGCGTCGGTAAAAAAGACGCACAACCAACAGGAACCAGCCAACAGTATCTGAGGTGTTCGCTAAAATGACTAAGTACAAGTGAGTGAAAGATTGAAGCAGTCCTCTGACTGCCTGGACCTGCTGTCTTGAGCGCATGGCTGTGTGTGCGTCTGTGTCTGTGTGGTCACGTGATGTGCATTTTCAGAGGTAGAGAGGAAGGAGGGCTGCTCAGAAATGCTACACTCCACTGTGGACGTCAAATCGTTGTCGTTCTAAAATGCCATTTAAAAACAAAGACAGTGTAAACAGAATCTGAGTGTGTGTACTGTGTGTACTTTTCGCGAGCGGATTTGCAATGGGGGCGGGCAAAGGATCGCGATGCCGGTGTTGTCTATCGGACGAACCGTACGTAATACGTACATAGCAGAGCTTGCAAAACTGTGTTTTTTTTTTTTCGACAACACGAACGTTGTCAACATAACTCACTGGAAATCCCAAATGCTTCCACAGCGGTGACTTCATTGAAAGAGGAGAGGGTTTAAGCTCTGTCGACGGGTCTCCTGCTTCTGCAGTTTAACAAGCACTTCAACAAGCCTGTTTTTTTCCCGCTTGGCAAGCCAAGCTGACGTGACATGGGGGCGTGGCAGCATCGACGATTCTATTCTTTGATTCGCTAATCGAAATTGAGCATAAATTAATAATCGAAATCGTGACACCCCTAATATATATATATATATATATATATATATATATATATATATATATATATATATATATATATATATAT